CCCCAAAACCCCAAAACCCCAAAACCCCAAAACCCCGAAAATGCTCTTATTTTTGATAATATAAATTATTAAAAATGCAACTCTTTTTATTATACGAAACAGCAGCAGGATATGCTCTCTTCGAAAGAGAAGAATATGATGAGATTGGTGGAGAATTAGAACAAGTCCAGGCAGCAATCGCCGATTACGAGAGGTTTGCTACCCTACTCAAAATGAAAGCCTATCAGCCATTTAAAACTGCTGAAGAAGCATTAAAGAATATTTTTGCTATCTCAAAAGGAGAAGTTACCGAAACACTCCAAGAATTTTTGGAAAGCTACTTACCTAAAGTCAAGAGTAAGAAGAAGCAGAAATTCCAGTTGGGTATTGCAGACAAAATCATCGGCCCACAGTAAGTAGATAGTCTACTCCATTCCTCCATTTGAGTGTGTTTTTAAGCAATTTTATAGAATTTCTGAGAAAACAGGATACACTACTTCAACAAATGAAACAATCAGAGAAATTTTCAGAGGAATTAGAACCCACTTCAACAGATTCTCAAAGAGTAAGTACTATAGAAGTTAACATTCCCCATAGAGATCACCGAGAGTGACATCAAACAAGCACAGCTTGGTCTTGCTCATGCTTTCAGTAGGAACAAAGTCCAACATGATGTAAACAGACAGGATAAGCCAATTATCCAAGTAATCGCTTTGATTGAACAGATGGATAAAAATATCAACACCTTTGCCATGAGGCTTAAGGAATGGTTCTCTTGGCACTTCCCAGAGCTTGCTAAGATTGTCACCGATAACTCCATTTATGCCCAGCTCGTCCATCTCATCGAAAATAGAGAAAACATTAACGAAGCTTTACTTCCTAAATTAGAAGAGATCACTTTGGACGAAGAAAAAGCAAAGGAAATCATTGAGGCCAATAATGCTTCAATGGGACAAGACATCTCTGAGAATGACACTGCCCAGATCAAAATGTTCTCTTCTAGGATCGTCGAGATGGCCAACTACAGAACATCCCTCGGTGAATACCTTCACAACAGAATGCTCAATGTTGCTCCAAATCTTTCTGCTCTCATTGGAGACAATGTTGGAGCAAAGTTGATCTCACAGGCTGGATCTTTGGTAAACCTTGCTAAATACCCAGCATCAACCATCCAGATTTTGGGAGCTGAAAAGGCACTGTTCAGGTCTCTCAAGTCAGGAGGAAATACTCCAAAGTATGGTATTATCTATAACAGTTCCTTTATTTCAAGAGCTGGAATTAAGAATAAAGGAAAGATCTCTCGTTATATTGCAAACAAACTCGCTATCGCAGCCAGATTTGATCAATTTGCTCTCATTCCAAACACTAAGATGGGAGAAGCCCTTAAGGAGCAAGTCGAGGAGCGTCTCAGGTTCTTCGCATCTGGTGACAAGCCAAAGACCAACAGAGACGTCATGGCTTCTGTTCTCGAAGAGCTCAAGGCTGACGGCCTCTATGCCACAGCTGAAGAAACTGCTAAAGAAGAAGCTGATCAAAGCGAGGAAGAGGAAGCTCCAAAGAAGAAGTCTAAGAAAGACAAGAAAGAGAAGAAGTCTAAAAAGAGCAAAAAGAGAAAGCATTCCGAGATGGAGGAACAAGACGTTGAAGCCAAAGAAACCTCCGAGAAGAAGAAAAAGAAGAAGAAGAGTAAGAAGGCTAAAGTTGATGATGAAGAATAAATTAAAATACTTTCAAAACATTCTCTCGTTTTCGGGGTTTTGGGGTTTTGGGGTTTTGGGGTTTTGGGGTTTTGGGGTTTTGGGGTTTTGGGG